GGAGGAAACTGTTTGTCTTCAGGTGCTCCTACAGTCTCATGCAGGGGGTGGGTGTCAAGGAGCGGCTGTGTGCTGGCAGGAGAGGACCCAGATGCAGACTCACAGAAACAAGACGTAACTCAAAAAATGGCTTTGTTTACAGAAAGGGGAAATAAACAATACAAAACTAACCTGGGAAAAACACAACCATGAGTGACGACGCGACCGGGCTATGATGTCCCACAAGAGATTTAATCACATCACCAGGGCGCTGCCTTTTGATGACAAGCTCTCCTGACCCCGACACTGTGAACACAAGTCTTCCGCCAGGTATGGGATATGTGGACGCACCGCCTGGTGATGCTGTTAAGCCCAGAAAAAGACCTCTGTGTAAATGAGCAGCTCGTCCCATTCAGAGGCAGGTGCAGCTTCAGGCAGTCCATGCTGAAAAAGCAGACAAATATGGCATAAAGATTTGGGTCTGTGATTTGAAAACATCCTACGCTGGAGGCTGCAGGTGTACACGGGCAAAGCAGCTGGCGTTACGCTGAAGTTAACCAGGGGATGAGGGTGGTCCTGGAAATGACAGAGGGCTCCATGGACACGTCATCACCTGCAATAATTTTTTCACCTTGTTTGCACTGGCAGATGAGCTGCGCAAGAGAAACTGGCTCTAGTTGGCATAATTCGACAAAACAAACCCGAACTTCCACCTCTTTTGCTCCAAGCATGAGGGAGAGCGGTCTTCTCCTCCACCTTTGCATTTACAATGACGCACGCACTCATCTCCTACATCCCCTGGGCAAGAATGAGGTCCTACTAAACACTGCAGTCAGGACGTCAGCGATGAAGGGAAAAGAAAGCCCATCATAATACAGGACTACAACCGATGCAAAGGAGGTGTCGACAACCTTGATAAGGTTGGTGTCATTAGTTAGGCATTAGTTACGCACCCGTTTATTCATTCTTGCTCATATCCTTGTGTAAAATATACATAGGTTTTATGTTTTCGGATTTTTAAATTTTGATAGGTTGTTGGCACCTACTCATGCAGGAGGCGAACAAATTGGTGGCCACTGGCCCGGCTGTGGACATCAATCAATCCATCCTGGCAGCAGCAGAAACTGGACAGGAGGAACTGTACATCAAAGAGGTGGGAGAAATGATAGTCAACCAGCACATAATGAAGAGAGGGCGCCTTCCCCGCTCATCAGCCGTTTCAGGCATCACTACAGCTGTGCAGGGTGCTGCTGCAGGCCCCTCTCGATTCATAAAATCCAAGGGCAGGAAGCAGTGCGAGTTTTGCACTGACAAAAAAAGATGAATTGGGAACACCTGCTGCAAATGTGGGAGGTTTACCTGCAGACCACAGCCAGTTCATTTGAAGCCTCTGCTCCACCTGTTCTTGTTTATCTTTCAAAAATAAATGTTCTTCTGGTTCAAACTGATCTTGTATTTTTATTTACACAATGTTTTTTATTTTAGAACGCAACAAAGTAATAAACATTTAGTGGGGAAAAGTGAAAAACATCATATACCATTTAGGCTACGATTATTTACTTATTTATTTATATAATTTACTGTGCCCCTGCAATAATAATAATGATGCATCAAAATCAATGTTGGTGCCAATCTTTCACCCACCTAAAGGCCTAATTATAATAACAATCAAATATTTCTTGAAATTTATTTTATGGAAAATATTTAAACCTTTTTTTTTCTGTTAAAAAACTGTCATGAATGTGTGAAGGCAGGCAGGAAAGGTGGACCCGAGAGCAGAACTCACGGAGGCACAGGTGAATTACAGACTGAACAAAGAACTAACTAAACTGGAAAGCAAATAAACTCGCAGGCAGGCAAACAGAACACACAGGCTGGTATGAAGGTAAACAGACGTTCACAACGCAACAGAGAGCAAAGGAAACACAAGGCTTATATACACGGGAGTAATCAGGGAATGGGAAACAGGAGGGAGACACAGCTGGGAGAGATTAGGGCTAACGAGACAGGAGGCAAGTGAAACTGAGCACACTGACATCAGACATGAATGTTAAATTAATATTAAAATATTAATATATAACATTTTTACAGCACTTTTTGGGAAATGGCTGTTTTTTTGGCCTTAAGTTATTTTTAAGGATCTTTTAATTATAGAGTACTCTTAACATACTGCTCAATTGTTGTGTTTGACAGACAGTTCAGAACTTGTAAGGTCAGCAAGACGCCTGCTAAATTTACTCACTTCTACATTTACCACTGTTCGGCCCAGTGTTCAAACTCCCCAAGAGCCTCCCAGGTTTTGTGAAACTAAACACAAGCAACACATGCACAGATTAACAAAGAACTTGTTAATCATTTGACATGTGTGTTACTTTTGTACTATATTAATTAATTAGCATAAAACAATGAGATGTTTCTTCTGAATATTGTGTCATTCTAGCAGACAGAAATGAGTCAGGAGAGAGGGAGAAATGGTACACATATTTAAAATATGCTCTAAATTGCTAGAAATGAAAATAGCTACTTAACCTGACTAACTATTTGCGTTAAAAGAAATGGTTGCAGGCTTGGAGCAAAGGTCATTGAGGGTGACCAGACTGCGAAGGCTCCCAAATATTCCTTGCTGGATCTTGATCAAGGAAACTTCCAGTAGGCCTTACATGCAGTGGGGTTTGTACACACAAACACACATTTTGGAAATTACTTGACTGATCTTATTTCTCTCTTCTCTCACAGTAGTACTGGTGAAATTTCTGCTGCCTCAAAGATTGGTGTTACCAGTACTTGTGCAATGGAGAGCTGTAGATTGAAAACATTATGAGAGAGGATGTCTGTGATGTTCATTATACTTCTATTATCTCTCAGGTATTAAGTTCTATAGGTTTCACTGCTCTAAAATGTTTGGAATTACATGTTTGTAGCACAGATTGTACCATCTCTTATGTTATTTGCAAATTATAAGACTCTGGAATTGGTCATGTTATTGTGTGTGTTTCTGTCCTTTAAGGTTGAGTCGGCCGCAGAAGATAAAAAGACAGAAATCACTGTTAATATTTAAAAGAAAGAAGAAATTGTTTGGTAAAATTGTTTTACTCTGTTTTTCCCAAAAAACTTTTTTTTCTTTTTAATTTAACAGTATGCTAATTTTTTTTCTTTCTGCATTTCAATACTGTTGTTCTTCATGCCATCCTTCAGTTGGTGCCTCTTCCCTCCCAGCTACGTGATGGTCTAAAATTTCATGGTCGTACTGATCTGCTGACTCAGTACCCAAACATCTGCCAATCACTGTTTGTCCCTGGGGTGGAAGTTAAGGTGAGTAAATGTTGACTTTAGTAGTGATACCACTTGTACTTGTAATAGTACTCTTCCAAGTACTCTTACCTTTACTTTTTATAGACTGTAAGTCCCATAGTATGTAATTAATGGTGGGACTAGAAAAAAATATTCAAAATTGTCTTAAGTTGCATAGATAACATACATCTAATCTAATTTGTCAAGTTAAGAAACCCACATTACTCCACTGCTCAACAATCAAACTATTTAAGCAAATAAAGAAAAATATTTAAACAAGTTATGATAATAACTTATCAAAATTGTTTGGTCTCAATTGAGAGGGTCAGAATAACATAAAACCATCAATAGTGAGCTACAAACATGTGACAGATGTAGAATTTTACAAAAACAAAAGGCTGCCCACAAAAACATTGTTGCACATAAAGTAGTATAATATAACTCAAAATAACAAATAAACATTGTTTCAGC